CCTTTTTTGAAGGTCCAAGGCTGGCTGGTTACATGGAGACTCTGTCAATCCTACATAGGAGGACCAGAGGATGGAGTGGGATAGGGAGGAAAGAGAAAGGAAAGGCAGGTCAATTTTCTGGCCAATTCAGCCTATCTTGTCATGAAAATGAGCCTCCCTGAAAATTCCACCTGCAGGATGTTGGATGGCTTGGAAGCAAAAGTTTTCCCTGGCCGGGAATCGAACCCGGGCCGCAGCGGTGAAAGCGCTGAATCCTGACCACTAGACCACCAGGGAAGGACAAGGTGGCTTTCCTCTCTCTAGCTTCTTGGAAGGGGCATCAGCTCCAGCCTCCTGCAAGTGAGGTTTGCAAGAAAGCAGGAGTGTCCCTTCCTTTGAGACTTTCACTTTCTCCCTGCTTGAAAAACCCCAATTGTTGGTGGCCTGCAGAGAAATCCCTGCCCCACCACCCAGGTTTTCAGGCAGGAGGGATGGAGACGCTTCGTCAAAACTTTCTCACAGCACCCGTCAATGCCAAGGTTGTTAGGCTTGCTACCTTCCAGCTGACTGGCTGCACATGGCACCTCTCTGGTGGCCTAGAGCAGGGGGTCTCCAACCTTCGCAACTTTAAGACTTGTGGACTTCAACTCCCAATTTTTTTTTTCGATTCTGGGAGTTCTTAAATTTTGTTTTTAAAAAAAATTCTGGGAGTTCTTAATTTTTTTTCCCCCAATTCTGGGAGTCTTAAAAGTTTTTAATTTTTTAATTTTAATTTTTTTTTCCAATTCTGGGAGTTGAAGTCTGTTAAGGATATTGTTGTGTTACCAACCAGCAGAGTGTAGAGCACAGAGAAACGTTGCTGAGAGCAATGAATAAGAGATGTGCAAACTGGTTTATCAAAAGTTTACTTTATAGCGAAAAACAATCTCATAGTCTTTAAACAAATCCAAGTCTTTGCCAGTTAAATCAGTCCAGTGATACAAAAAGCTTCTTACCACACAAACAGTAGTTGGTTAGAATAACAAACTCACTCTGGTTCATAAACCACGATGGTAGCAGATCCATCCAACGATGCTAGCACAATGGTAACAACTCCTCACACAATGGTAGCTTATCATCAACTGAATACTTTACAGTACCTTTCTTAAATACGTTCACAACTAATTACAGCATGACTCAGCATTACAATGAATCAGCAGTAAAACTTTAAAGTCACACAATACATATTCATATTAAAGTCACAGAATACATATATTGCCTGGACGACTTGTTAGGCTCAAACTATATCCTAACAAAGTCCACAAGTCTTAAAAGTTGCCAAGGTTGGAGACCCCCGGCCCAGAGGCTTATACACTTTCTCCAACATCCCAGAGGTTAAGGGGCCATTTTGGTCCAAAGCTTCCTCAAGGAGGAAGAGCCCCACCCACCCAAAAATGTGTTAGCTTGGAAGCTCTCAGAATGAGGAAAGTCTGGGGCCTCCTTTTCCAGATTGGATTAGAAGTCGGCTATTTCCTGTACTAAAGGGACGTGGTGGCTCAGTGGCTAAGACGCTGAGCTTGTCGATCGAAAGGTCGGCAGTTCAGCGGTTCGAATCCTTAGTGCCGCGTAACGGGGTGAGCTACTGTTAATTGTCCCAGCTTCTGCCAACCTAGCAGTTCGAAAGCACGTTAAAAAAAATGCAAGTAGAAAAATAGGCACCATCTTTGGTGGTAAGCTAACAGCGTTCCGTGCGCCTTTGGCATTTAGTCATGCCGGCCACATGACCATGGAGACCAGCGTTGTCTTTGGACAACGCTGGCTCTTCGGCTTTTAAACGGAGATGAGCACCGCACCCTAGAGTCGGGAACAACTAGCACATATGTGTGAGGGGAACCTTTACCTTTTTTTCCTGTACTTGCTAGGAGCTTGTTTCCAAACCAGGGAACTTTTGCGGATTAGCTAAGTTTGATAACCCCTGCACAACAGGAACCATAGATACGGATAGCTGTCAACCACCATACCCATATATTTTGCCCTCCATCTCACCCTGGTGCCTGCAGCATCAGATGGGTTAAAGGCACATTATTCCTTAGTGTTTTGTGCCCATCCAGATCTCACACGCAGGGAAAAGAATGAAGAAGTAGAAATTAAGACAGGATCTCAAATATAACTGTGCCATGGATATAGGGTCATCATACATGGTTCCCAATCTTGCAACCTGGGTTCAAATTCTGGCTGGTGCGTGACTTCTTTCACCTTTTACCGATCTGTGATTTGCAGCTAGACAATGTTTTCGTCCCAGTGGGAGGAAAAAGGGCCTTGACTTCCAATGGAATATAACAGGGGTTTCAAACTCAAGGCCTGGTGCCCAGATCCAGCCCCGCGGGGTGCTTAGATCTGGCCTACGGAACTGCCCTCGAAACAGCAAAGGACTGGTCCGTGGTGCCTCTGCCAGGCCCTCCCGAGCTCCATTTTCGCTGGCAGGGGGTTGCAGGAGGCCGTCGCAGCCAAAAACAGAGCTCTGGGAGCCCGTTTTCATTGGCAGAGGACTGGGGCCGCCACAGGCACCCCTTTCACAAGTGTGACATCGAGCTGGCCAAGCCCACTGTCCCCCCCCTCCTGAGGTCAAAACACAAAACTGATGTGGCCGTCAATAAAATTTGAGTTTGACACCCCTGGAATAGAAGTTATGAAAGTCAAAGAGAACCCTGGCACCCGATATAAGTCTTCCAACTGAGGGAGGACTCTTCTGACTGAGGGAGATTTAGATTTTATTGAACTTCTATACCGCCCTTCTCCCAAAGGACTCAAGTGTCACTGTCAGGGAGGACGGTGTCATTGAGGGTATCAACGTGAGATCTTAGATTTGGGGTTCTTATCTCCTGTTTGTAAATTCAGATCTTTAGGCAAATTAGTTTCCCTTCAGCTTCTCCACTTGGTCTCCTGTTAAATGGGCATTTCAAATTAGCACGAGAATCCAAAACCCTCACGTAGGTCCCTCCAAACATCTCACGTTTGTAATTTGCAATCGACTCAAAGTTCAATAAATATATTGACTCAAAAATAATCATATCAACACTATTTAATTAATTTAATCTAAGTGTTTAGGTAAATGTAAAAGAAAAAAAGAAATCTATTTTAGCCTTTGTCTCGGTCCTCACCACTCCACTGGAGAAGCATTTGCATGTTCATTTGTAGGTCTTCTAAATCATAGTTCCTTTTCAGAGTTCTTCCTCTGAAGTTTCTTCCATACATTTATACAGGTTTATGGTGAGGATTCTGTGATATGTTCCCAGTTCAAATTTAGTTACTTTCATCCCCATGAAGTAGTAACTCCTTTGTAAATTGCAGCCCTTTCCAATACGGAGATATCTACCACCATTCCTGGAATGATTGTCCTATTTCCAAAAATTGCATTTCCTCAGCTGATGCTCGACTGTGATCTCGGTGTGCTTTTTTTCACTCTTACATAAAACAAAACTAGGGAAGAAAGGAAAAAAAAAAATCACAAGATAAGAGACAGCCTCTGAACGGCTTCTTCCAATTCAGGATCAGTAAAATTTCTTCCCCAACTATTGCTGCAGTTTCATTTCATAATGAGAAGCAAGGGTGGAAACGTAGATTGTAACAAGATTAAGGAAAGGAAGAACAACTTGAACTCAAGAAAGGGATGGAGGGTTATATACATCTAAAGGGGTCTAAAGGGAGAAATGCCGGTCAACATTTTTCTCTACCCGAGACACAGCAGTGATATATTGTTCAGATGGAGTTCCTCCAAACAATTGGGGAACCTGTTGCGATTATTAACTAATAGGCTGCTGACAGGACAGTTAATTTCCGTTATCCCCATTGTTAGTTTTTCTTTGCAACCTCCTACTTAGCAAAAACCACAATTGATTTAGGATTCATCCTGTTCTGATCTGGGCTAGAAAGGTAATTTATGCGGCATATCAAAGTAGGTTTGGTATTTATTTGAATTATTATTCAAATGGACCTTTGCGTGATATTTTAGACAACTATTTGTATTGAAGCTCTTCCTGCACTCCCTGCATTGATAGGGCTGCTTCCCTCTGTGGAACCTTTTATGGTTAAGTGAGAGCTACAACTTCTCAAGCTCTTTCCACCGATATGTGGAACCCATTGTCACAGAAGCTCTTTCCACGCTCCCTGCATCGATAAGGAATCTTTTTATGCCTACTAAGATCACCTCTGAATCTAAAGCTTTTCCCACACTCCCAGCATTGATATAGTTTTTCCCTTCTGTGGATAGATTTATGGTCAATCAGAGAATTACTTCTGGTAAAGCTCTTCCCACATTCCATGCATTTATATGGCTTCTCTCCTGTATGGATCCTTTTATGAGAAGTAAGACTTCTATCCTGAGTAAATATCTTCCCCCACTCGCTACACTGAAAAGGCTTTTTCCCCCTGAGTGCATCCTTTTATGGCAGGAAGGATCAGAATCCCTCCTAAAATCCTTTCCACATTCGACACACTTATATGGCTTCTCTCCTGTGTGGATCCTCTTATGGTAAGTAAAATTACTATTACAACTAAAGCTCTTTCCACACTCCATGAACTGATATGGCTTCTCTCCTGTGTGGATCCTCTTGTGGATATTAAGACTACTATTACAACTAAAGCTCTTCCCACACTCCATGCATTGATATGGCTTCTCTCCTGTGTGGATCTTCTTGTGGGAATTAAGAGTACTCCTATGAGTAAAGGTCTTTCCACATTCCATTCATTGATATGAGTTCTCTCCTGTGTGGATCCTCTTGTGATAAGTAAGATTACTACTGCAACTAAAGCTCTTCCCACACTCCATGCATTGATATGGCTTCTCTCCTGTGTGGATCCTCTTGTGGGAATTAAGAGTAGTCATATGAGTAAAAGTCTTTCCACATTCCGTGCACTGATATGGCTTCTCTCCTGTGTGGATCCTCTTGTGGATATTAAGACTACTATTACAACTAAAGCTCTTCCCACACTCCATGCATTGATATGGCTTCTCTCCTGTGTGGATTCTTGTGGGAATTAAGAGTACTCCTATGAGTAAAGGTCTTTCCACATTCCATTCATTGATATGAGTTCTCTCCTGTGTGGATCCTCTTGTGATAAGTAAGATTACTACTGCAACTAAAGCTCTTCCCACACTCCATGCATTGATATGGCTTCTCTCCTGTGTGGATCCTCTTGTGGGAATTAAGAGTAGTCATATGAGTAAAAGTCTTTCCACATTCCGTGCACTGATATGGCTTCTCTCCTGTGTGGGTTCTCTTGTGGGTATTAAGACTACTGCTACAAATAAAGGTCTTTCCACACTCCACACATTGATATGGCTTCTCTCCTGTGTGGATCCTCTTGTGATAAGTAAGACTACTACTGCAACTAAAGCTCTTCCCACACTCCATGCATTGATATGGCTTCTCTCCTGTGTGGATCCTCTTGTGGTGAGTAAGACTATTACTACAACTAAAGCTCTTCCCACACTCCATGCATTGATATGGCTTCTCTCCTGTGTGGATCCTCTTGTGGGAATTAAGAGTAGTCCTACGAGTAAAGATCTTTCCACATTCCATACATTGATATGAGTTCTCTCCTGTGTGGGTCCCCTTGTGGGTATTAAGACTACTGCTACAAGTTAAAGTCTTTCCACATTCCATGCATTGATATGGCTTCTCTCCTGTGTGGATCCTCTTGTGATAAGTAAGACTACTACTGCAACTAAAGCTCTTCCCACACTCCATGCATTGATATGGCTTCTCTCCTGTGTGGATCCTCTTGTGGGAATTAAGACTACTGCTACAAGTAAAGGTCTTTCCACATTCCATGCATTGATGTGGCTTCTCTCCTGTGTGGATCCTCTTGTGGAAATTAATAGTCGTCATATGAGAAAAGGTCTTTCCACACTCCATGCATTGATACGTGTTCTCTCCTGTGTGGATCCTCTTGTGGGAATTAAGAGTACTGCTACAAGTAAAGGTCTTTCCACACTCCCTGCATTTATAAGGTCTTTCTCCTTTGTGACTCCTTTCATGTCTTATAAGAGATTGATTATCACAGAAGGTCTTTCCACACTCCCTGCAGGTATTTGTTTTCTCTTCTGAATGTGTTGTGTTATGGAAAATCAAATGATCTGATGTATTAAAGTTCTTCCCACACTCCATGCTTTGATATGGTCTTTCTCCCATATCAATGATTGTACGGTTACGAAGCCGATTGACCCAAGGAAAGTCATTTTTAATGACACTTTGTGATTGCTTTGTTTCATCACTCTTTGGTTGCATCTGATCTGCAAATTTCCCTTTTCTGCCTTTTGAATGGATGGCTTGGCATTCCTCCTTGCAATTCTTACTCTCTTGCCCATTGTATCCTTGAAAAAACAAAATGAAAATTGTCAGAAAACTATGGAAATGATTAAAGATCAAATGTTTTCTGCTGAAATTTATCTGATCAATATATTTTGGCTGCTTTGTTGACTAATATGAAGATCTGAACTAAGGTTTTACCAAATATGCATTTCCAAGAGGGCTCCTATCAGGTTCATACATCAGGAACGGATCATGTCACAATGAACCTAAGATAAAACCCTGATCTAATCTTTGACCACTAGTGTATTGATGACCTGGGTCAGTCATATTGTGTTATGAACTCCTGAAATGCTTTGGATACTATATCATGCAGGAGCAGGAACTTACCCACCAGCTCCCCAATTTCAATGAAAGTCTCATTTCCACTTGTCTGCAGAGCAGTGTCTTTGAAAACCAACAGGACTTTCTGGATGGCAATAGCTCCCCACTTCCAATTTGGGATGATGCCAATCTGAGTGCCCAAGTGGGCCCATTTCTGAGAAAGGAACGTCCCTCTCAGGGCAGGGGTCTCCAACCTTGGCAACTTTAAGACTTGTGGACTTCATTGATAAAATGTGTCCCATATCAAAAAATATTCAGTTTCTTCTTCATCTTTAATAGCAAGTGTTAATCTATCCATTTCTGCACAGTCTAATATTTTGTTTAATTACATTCATACATGTAATACTTAGATAACAGAAACAGAAGTTAGAAAGGAAGAGATATAAAGGGAGGAAATGGTATAGAGGAGGGTCGTTAATGAAGACCATGTTAAATGTTAAGCATTAAGGTTATTATTTACTTAGTCTGCACTACTATTAATCTTTTCATCATTCCCATCACCCATCTCCTTCCACTTATGTCTATTCTATTCTATTCTATTCTATTCTATTCTATTCTATTCTATTCTATTCTATTCTATTCTATTCTATTCTATTCTATTCTATTAATATGATTATATTATTAATATGATGGTGATGGCTAAATATAATGAAGATGTATAAATATGACTATCAAAATATAATTGTACCCAAATACACACAGTTTGATGAAAATTGAGTGTTATATAAATAAAGCAAATAAAATGGGGGGGGGAGATTTGTGGACTGGCTGAGGAATTCTGGGAGTTGAAGTCCACAAGTCTTAAAGTTGCCAAGGTTGGAGACCCCTGTCTCAGGGCACATCTATTTATTTATTTATTTATTGGTTTGATTTATATGCCTCCCTTCTCCGGAGACTCAGGGCGGCTTACAATGCATTAAGCAATAGCCTTCATACTTTTGTATATACCTGCTTAGTAGGGCTTTAAGCGGTGTTCTTTTTTATACAAAGTCAGCTTATTGCCCCCACAATCCGGGTCCTCATTTTACCTACCTCGGAAGGATGGAAGGCTGAGTCAACCTTGAGCCTGGTGAGATTTGAACTTGCAGTAATTGCAGGCAGCTGGCAGCTAAGTGCTACTTAACAGCACTTTAGTCCGCTGTGCCACCAAGGCTCTTTTTAAGGTCTTGCTTATGCATGCCAGTCAGTTGCTTCATCCACCTTCAGATCATGGCAAAGAACAATAATATTATACACCAAATTGGTGTTCAATAGCATCTGGTCTTGAATAGCAGCCATTCAGCATCCAATGACTAGGCTCAGGAGTGAATACAAGGAAGGCAGAAATTTGCTTAAGGGAAGCCAACCCATCCCTGCTTGCTGCCCACCCCACAATTTCCTGCTGTAATCTTCTACGGCATGGAAATATATCATCATCATCGTCATCTTAGCCACTGTCTACCCACTGCAGGACGAAGGTCTCTTCCGCATGTTTCCAACCAATATGGTCATGAGCTTTCCCCCCCCCCCCAATTGTCTCTTTCATGGAAATAAATATTTTGCATTTTATGAGCAGAAGGAACTTTGAAAGAAACCCATTTCATTTCTGTGACAATGGATACTTGTGCGGTGTTCCAATTTTCCTTTCAATAAATTTCTTTGTTGCACAGGGCCAAGTTTGCTCTATTGGTTAAGGCACACACTAGAAACCAGATGCCTTGAGGACTAGTTTTGCCTTAAGCATGAATGCCAGTTGGGTGACTTTGGGCCAGTCTCTCTCAGCTCACCTGTGTCACAAGGCTTTGGTTATAGAGAAAAATAGGAGATGGAAGGAGTATTCGGTATGTCCGCTACTTTATTTACAGTCCTCGAGATACAACCATAATGGGACCCATCCATTACTGTTGCAGGTTGCACAGTCTTTAGGTGAAACGTGTCACCTAACGACCCTCCCATTCCTGTTCTCCCCGATGAAACATAAAACCAATGTTCCAGTTGTTAAGTGGAGCACGTGGAGGGCCTCCTGGGTGGGGGAGTGTTATGAAGCTTGTGGGAGGAAAAAGGTCCAGCAACAGCAGTCCCGGTGATAGCTTGCGTGCTACAAAACAGCAAAAGGCAAGCATCCGTGGGAGTTTCTCTGCAACGGCGTCTGGAGTCCTTATCTGCATTCTTCTCCCATCTGCGGCGTTGCACTAAGCTTCCTGCAGGAGCTGTGCATTTAGGCCTAAACCAGGAGTCTAGGCCCAAGTAGCAAGCAAAAGGTCCTTGCTTATATGGGGAGTTAACCTGCAATTAACTAGGGCGGGGAAGGCTTGCAGGTAATTGCAAACAGGAGATGGCTTGATTGAAACCATACTGTTTGTGAGTAGGCAGGTAGCCACAGCAATCCTGGAAACACTCGTGACAGGGAGGATGTTGGAGGTCTAGTACAGGCCCAGGCTCACTTGCCCTTGTCCTCCTAAGGCCTCCCACACCCCCGAATCACCCCATGCTCCACTTCTCATGCCCAGGGTCTCAACAGGGCTTCTCCTACTCCCACCGGGTACTCCTAGAGTTTAGGCCTGGTTCACACCCCGCCAGGCCAAACTCTGAGGCCTTCCAGAGCACTGGAATGATTTCCTTCTTTGTGCAGCCACGGTTCCAAATATGGCAGCCATTTTGTCCCACCCACAAAATGGTGACAATGTTCTGGTTGCCACCAACCAGCCCAGGGACAAGCTGCTTTGTTTTGCTGCTTTAAGAAGCTCTGCACAATGGTTTCTGCAGCATTCAGAAGCATCTGCAGCATTATGCAGATCTCTCTAAGGCAGCAATGTGAACCAGTTTGTGTGGCAACAGCCATTTTGTCTGTGCCTATTTGTGGGTGGGAACAAAATGGCGGCTGTATTTGGATTGTTGCTGCATGGCCTGGAGACAAACTGCTTTGTCTTGCTTCCTTAACAAGCTGTGCAGAGTGCTGAAGCTTTCTGTTGCATCCAGACGCTTCTGCAACACTGGGCCGACTTCTCTTAAAGCAGCAAAATGAAGCAATTTCTCGGGCGGCTGCCATTTTGTCCCACCCACAAATGAGCGGGACAATATGGCGGCTGCATTTGGATTGCCACCATGCACCCCCGGGACACATGCCCTGCCCTCTTTCTACACACATGAGGTCCGGAGAGCTTCAGAAAGTAAACGTGGGGTGTGATAGGCCTGTGAGGAGGAGGCCCAAGCATTGAAGGGTTCTGGCAAGTTGGGATAGGGATAGAGAGGTGGCCACTCATTTGTGGGTAGGTCAAAATGGCAGCCGCCAGAGAAATTGCTTCATTTTGCTGCCTTAGAGAAGTCCGTGCAGTGTTGTAGAAGTTTCTAAATGCACCTGAAAGCTTCAAGATTGTGCGGAGCTTGTTAAGGCAGCAAAAAAAAAAAAAAAGCAGTTTGTTTCTGAGCCATGCGGCAGCAGCCCAAATACAGCTGCCATTTTGTTTTAATCTTGAAACGGGGTCATATCTAGCTTTGGGGGGGGGGGGGGGAGTGCAGTCTGTCATAATTTAGAATGCTCATTAAATGTCCTGTTATACTGTATCTCAAAGGTTACCTGCACTAAAAAAATAATACAGGGCAGGATATAAATTTAAAAACTGTTATTTTATATATTTAAAAAAACTGCTGGTTGCATCTAACCCCATGACTTTTCTGTTTCTGAGCACAGACTTACCCAGGTAAACCAGATTCCTGGAATTCTCCAGCATGACTTCCCCATGGAGTGCTTTTTGGTCAGGATCCAGCTGAGACCACTCCTCCTTGGAGAAATGCACGGTCACTTCCTCCAAAGACACAAAATCCTGAACAAGGAAACAAGTTTCCCTATTAACAGATAGTCCCATGATGGCAAACCTGTGGCACACGGAGCCATATCTATGGGAATACAAGCGTTGCCCTAGCTCAGCTCCAGTGGGCATGTGCGCGCCAGCCAGCTGATTTTCGGGCCTTCCGGAAGTCAGGAAATGGGCTGTTTCTGGCCTTTGGAAGGGCTCCGAGGGGGTAGGGAAGGCTGTTTTCGCCCTCCCCAGGATCCTAAAAAGCCTCTGGAGCCTGGGGAGGGCGAAAAACAGGCTTACCCCGCCCACCATGCCATCATGTGCCAAAAGCAGGGGGTTGTGCACACATGTGTGGGGCACATTGAATTATGGGTGTGGGCACACACGCGCACGACCCCCCCCGCTTTTAGCACACAACGGCAAAAATGTTAGCCATCACTGAGATAGTCCGATGAACAATTTGACAGTTTTCTTCCACCAATTCAAGGTAAGGTGCAATGGATGAAATGGACATCTTGTACAGAATTGAAAATAAGATCTCACAGCTTTTGGCTAATGGCACAACTGAAGTTTGCTTTCAGTGAAGGGAACTAAAAAAAAGTCTTCTGGGTTAAAATTGGTGGTTAGGTCTTAAACCTACTATTTATCAGTGGCTCCAATTCTTCCTAGGTTGAGCAGAGCAAAATACTTGTGAAACCCCCAACTCTGCCCACCTTCATGGAAGTGTTGGGTGAGGTTGTAATGGTAGATGAGAATGGCCCTGGGAGACAGAAGGAAGATCTCCGGTCAAGAAAACTTCTGGTCAGTGAAATCTAAGTCCGAAGCAGGAGGGTGGAGAAAGCTTATCAGAAGGAACAGGTAGGTTAAACTAACTGTGAAATTTTAATGACCTGATCCAAAATTTGTGCTGCTTAGAAACAGCAATACTATACACCAGCAGCCCCCAATGTTTTGGGCACCAGGGACCGGTTCCGTGGAGAGGTTTTTCCGCAGACCAGAGGGTGTATGGTTTCATGTTCTGCCTTCATCCTATGGATGGAGCTTCGCTTGTTTTGAGTGGCCCAATTTCTGGCATGCCGCGGACCGGTGTTGATCCATGGACTGGGAGTTGGGGACCCCTGCTATACACAGAACTGCAGCAGAAAATGAAACCCATCCAGGTTTCATGAATCTTTTCTGATGTTTCTCCTCCTTACCTGAGGCACAGGTTCAGCTACTCTTTCAGCTTCACCATAAAGATGAGGTGATTCTAAAACCACCAAGGACTGCTTTCTACTCTCTGTGAGAGAAAGAAAAAGGGTGAAAGCAGATTTGTTAAAGAGAGAGATTCAAATCAAGAGGAGCAAAAGAATCAGCTAAATGTTGAACTCTCACACCACACGGAAAGAGCTTCTGTTACCTGATGTGCTGTCCTGATTTTGATTTTTCTGGAAGCCCTCCCTGAACAGCAGTTCTTGAGAAGGTTTGGATGAATATTTCTTTTCCTTGGCATACTCAGTCACCGCTTCCAAGGATTTCTGGACATAATGTGACATGAGGGAAAAAGAGAAGAGCAAAGAGATAAAAATGAATGATCATACTGCACTCTCAACCTAGCAGACCCCAATGTCCATCGCTGAAGCTGGAAAATGAGAATGTAAGAATTGCCCCAAATATATCCTCTGGAAGAAGAATGGAACAACTGCCATAGGAGTTCATAATCCCCAAAAAGTGCCAGAGAGACAATTTGGAGAATTCCATTTTAGAGCTGCCACGATTATATTCTCAACTACCTGCAACTCCTCTTGCATCTTCTTCTCCTCCTGACTCAGGAAGAAACCCTCGGCAAGGGACACCGCCTGGGAACTGGTCTCTGCTCCACACTCCCGCACCCATCTTGCCATCTCTGGGGGAAGGACAGCCAGGAATTGTTCCAGGAGCACCAGGTCCAGCATCTGAGCCTTGGTGTGTTTTTCTGGTTGCAGCCACTGACAGCAAAGGTAGTGAAGCTGAGTGCAAACATCTCGGGGACGGCTCCCCTCCTGAAACTGCACTTTTCTGAAGTCACAACATTGGATGCCTGAACTGACTTCTTGGCTCTTCTGCCCAGGACTTGCCCCATTCTTCCCACAGCTCCAAGGCTGAGTAACTGGAGGTCCTTTTCCAACTTCTGCATGTGCTGGGCACTGTCTCTCCATCTTCTCTCTGGTCTTTAATCCAACTCCAAAATGGACTGATGGACCTCCTCAGGTCTTACTAATCACAAGAGGTCTGGACAAAGCTGCCAAGGCCATTTAATCCTCTTCTCTCAAAAGATCCTTTCCTCTCTGGAGGAATCAGGAAAGATTTCTAACTTACATATCTGAAATGGAAAACAAAAGAAACTTCCGGAAATACAGCTTGACCAACTTAGCAACTGAGCAGCTACAAAAACCCAAATAAGAAATTCTTAGGAACCTACCAATATCTGGGAAGAGGGGGAAAATCTTAGTAGGTAGACTGATTTATCTCTGTGTGGAGAAAATTCTGTAGTAAGCTTCTGGATCAACTTCTGTCAAGGACTAAAAGTATTGGATAACTACATTTTGGATGTAGTATTAGTACTATCCAAAAGTAGCATATAGTATAGTATCCAAAAATATTGAATAACTACATTTAAAACATGTACCTATATCCTAATGATTTATTCAAATAATTTTGATGGCTGTTTTCAATGTTAAAAACAACCTCTGTACAATCCAGATCATAAATGTCTCAGGTCCCAAATAGCAATTGAAAAGAGTGGCTATCTAAATCGATTTAATAGGTAAATCAATCAATATTTGAACTTCCAGCAAGCAGAAACGCATTAATCTTCTGGTCCAACCCCTTGGGTGAACTCCAGAAGCCAGAATGAAGAAACTACCATCCAATGCATATAGAAATAAACTCCAAGTGAATCAACTGCGTAGGCTTTAAACATGATGCTTTGATTGAGGCACATCGTAGAAAGGTTTCCCACTTTTAGCTTAATCCAGTCTTTTTTCAAACTTGGCCAATATAAGATGTATGGATTTAAAACTCCTGGCCAAGTTTGAAAAAAAAAAAAACCAACCGTGGCTAATACAGTACACGTAGTCCTCATTTTACAACAGTTCATTTAGTGACCAAAGTTACAACGGCACTAAAAAAGTGACTAATCATTTTTCACACTTGTGACTGTTTGCAGCATTCCTATGGTCACATGATCAAAATCCAGATGCTTGGCACCTGACTCAGATTTATGACTGTTGCAGTGTCTCGAGGTCATGTGATCTCCTTGAGCAATCTTTCAACAAGCAAAGTCAATGGGGAAGCCAGATTCATTTAACAACCGTATTAGTACACTTGTTGATTCACTTAACAACCGTGGCAAGAAAGGTCGTTAAATGGAGCAAAATTCACTTAACAAGTGTTTCACTTAGCAACAGAAATTTTGGGCTCAACTGTGAACTCAAGTTGTACAGTGTGAATGATGCATCCCAGCTTGCATTCCACCTCCCTTTAAAGTAGGATGTAAAGTGAGATTTGGATATAAGAGTGAAATGATACCGGGTTAGCCTAGATGATCTTTTAAGGACCTAGATATTGTAAGAGACAAGTTCTGAGCTCACAATGTTCAAAATGTCAAACCACAGAGCAGCTAGCTTCCTCAAGGGCCTTGGTAGTACAGTGGTCTAAGGCACCCTGTTATTAAGCTGGTTATTAAGACCAGATGCCTGCAATTACTGCAGGTTCGAATCTCGCCAAGGCTCAAGGTTGACTCAGCCTTCCACCCTTTCTAAGGTAGGTAAATTGAGGACCCAGTTTGTGGGGGCAATAAGCTGACTTTGTATAAATATACAAAAGAATGAAGGCTATTGCTTAGCGCATTGTAAGCCGCCCTGAGTCTCCGGAAAAGGGCGGCATATTAATCAAAAATAAAATAAAATAAAATAAAAATAAAAACTCTGAGGCAACATGCAGAGTTAGAAACCACATAAGTCAATATGAAACTAGTATTTCCTGCCTGATGTTAGTGTCTCAAATGCAAGTTTTAATCAGCTTTCTGCACAGCAATAAGGAGCCTAGCCAATAGGAATGAACTAACACATTTCCGTATTTTACTAACTATAAGAACACGTGTCTTTATGAGAACATAAAGATGGTTAGATGGTTAACTTTCTGTCTGAACCATTGGCCAATTAAAGCTTTTCTTGAACTCGAAGTCTGACTCCTTTGATTTCTGCCACAATTCAACAACCGTATTAGATTTGTCACTGCGTTTTTTTATTTCCCAGCTGAGCTTCATATTTCTGGACTATCAGACTTTCCGTACCTTGCCAAGAATTGTTATCAGTATTTTACTACGCATGTCCGCATTCTTTCACATTCCTTCACACACTCCTTCCTTTGTTCTCATGCCACGGGGGTGTCGACTGCTGGAAAGCAGCCGCCCGATTTACTTTCAAAATGTAGCAATTATCTTTCTTAGTTAGTGAGGTGTTTTATTTTCTTTATAACAAATAAATGAGTTTTATTAGAGAACGTTTCTTCGGGTTTTTCTTTTCAGAATATTGCAACAAGGAATAAGCCTAGATCCATCCTCTAACCAGGGTGATTTGTCCCAGAGCCAAACATGGGATTAATCAATGCCCTGACAAGATTCACTTAACAACCGTAGCAAGAAAGGCCGTTAAATGGAGCAAAATTCACTTAACAAATGTTTCAAACAGCAACAGAAATGTTGGGCTCAATTGTGAACTCAAATTGTACAGTGTGAATGATGCATCCCAGCCTGCATTCCACCTCCCTTCATGCAACACTTCCCCTAGTTGCCTGATGGCAAAGCCAGCTGGTGACGGTCGGGGGAAAAGCGGGAAAGCGAGTTCGAATCCTTGCACAGAAAGCCAGGTGAGACTTCTGCAGTGGCTTCTCTCAGCTTAGAAAAGAGGAAGCCCTTTTGAAAACGGGGCCAAGAAATTGGCAGGAAATTGTCCAGGAGTCAAGACTGACTTGGAGGCACCAACCCCTAATAGGTTTTTCCTAAGGAAATGGAGATTTTCCTCCTGGAAACAAAGCAGCGGATCCGTAGCTTTTGATTTCTTCTCTGCCTGGCCCGTGCATGCATGCACAGGGGCGGCAGGGGAACATGGGACAAGGGGCTCCCCACTTTCCAGGACTCCGAACCTGATGAAGTTTTGCGTGTCTCCACGCACGGTCCAGCCCGTGGAAGAAAAAGTCCCTCCCCACTTACTCAACTCCGGAGTCAGGTCTTGATTTCCCTCCGTGCAAGGCTTCCTTTCAAGCCTCTTGGACTCCTGGAAAGCCTCGGCCTAAGGCTCGCAGAGCGAAGGGGAGCAGAATCGGACACAGAATCGGAAACGGCAGATGCGATTTCAAAACTTTTCTGGGTAAAAAAGAAAAAATGCCCCGGGCAGCACGTGAGCTCGCAAAAGAGCCACTGCGCATGCTCAGTTTTACTTCCTGAAAGAGGCGGGGGGGGGGCGAGGATTCGGATGAGGGCTGCCCGCTTTTTCCAACGGTAGCTGAGGGAGCCCCCTGGTGGACGGTGCGCGCAATGCCAGAGGACTCTGCCAGGGCTGAGGAGATCCTATTCCATTGGGCTCTGGGAATGATGGGCGTTACGAGTAGGTGGAAGAGTGGGAAGAAATATCCATCTGGTTCAGTTCCAAGCGGGGAAAAAGACACTGGAAACATGGATTGGAAAGATGGTTTGTTGATGAACAGGACCACAGGAGTTTGAGGTCCTGGGCAGCTGACCACATGGAGTGGAGAGTGAGGGTTATATACCCTCTCTTGGGTCTTGCTCTTGAGCTTCCTGTTCCTGTGCAAGAAATGTATTCTATGGCTGCCGTCAGACTCCCATGGGGTCATAGCTAACTTTGTAAGCTGTCTCGAGTCCCAGGCTTGGTTGAAGCTTGCTGATGCAATGAAGGGGCTTGTGTTCTGAAAGGGTGTTGGGCAATTCCTATTGTATCTTAATGGCTTTGCGTCAGCAGTGAAATCTACTTACCTTTGCTACCGGTTCGGGAACAGTAGCACGTGGGAGCGCACCTATTCTGCGCATGCGCAGATGGTAAAAAACCGGGACATAATGACGTCCTGGCAGGTGGGTGGAGCCTCCCGCTGCTCCCAGTTCGGTGAGTCGGATAGAACCGGGGGGGGGGATTTCACCGCTGCTTTGCCCTGGTTTGGATCTTGAGTGAGGGCTAGTCCCATCACCCTGAGACTGAAGGTCTTTTGTCTTGTAGATAGGCTGGCCCAGTCCTTCTCAATAGGCACCAAATATCTGCTGGGGGCAGGGAGCTGAAGCTCCGAGTTTCTGTCTCCCTTAAGATTTCTATTTCTTTTTAGGGGAAATATAATATTCTGCCATTTTTAATATTTCCTAAAATATTTCATTATTCTAGGAGAGGGATAGGTGCTAACTTTTTTTTTTTTAATTTGATTTATATGCCGCCCTTCTCCGAAGACTCAGGGCGGCTTACAGTGCATTAAGCAATAGCCTTCATACTTTTGTATATTTATACAAAGTCATCTTATTGCCCCCACAATCTGGGTCCTCAATTTACCTACCTTAGAAAGGCTGGAAGGCTGAGTCAACCTTGAGCCTGGTGAGATTTGAACTTGCAGTAATCACTTTATTGCCATTTTTTTTTCTGTGGCCATACTGGCACACATTAAAAATGAAATTCTGTTGCCTGCTCTCAAAAGTGTACACATACATAACACACATATAGACATGCTATATACATGCGTACATATAAACCTACAACATAACATATAAATACATATAAATATTAATCACTGTCCATCTTGAATACATAATGGAAAGAGGAAGCTTGAGAGTTCACAAGGTTGATACTGTATGGAACCAAACTGTGACTGAATCTGGATATTGTTGGGGCTGCCTCCCTCCAATTCCTAGGAAAGAAAAACCCTTGGCTCCGTAGATTCAGAGAAAAAATACTTTTATTAGGAGAGAACTGAATGAAACAAGTTTCAGGCAAGATCTGAGGCACAAGCACACGAAGCAGCAAATTGAAACAAACCATAGAGCCCAGCCCTCCTGGTAACTAGGCAACCAGAGGGCAACCATTGGCCGGGAACTGTTTTGAGAAAGTCTTTGATTCAAGTGCATTGTCTCTGGCTGCTGCATACCAAAGCTAGAAGAAATAACCTTGGAGAGATAAGCAAAGCCCAGCCAGTAGTTGCAAAGCTGCATTGAAAAATTATCCGACTCCTCCCCTCATTTCCATGGCAGCAAGCAGCAAGCTGGCTGACATTTGTTCGGCTTCTGATACCACAGAGCCTCCTCCTAGAAGGTAACAAGGAAAACAGGTCGTGAAGAGGATGTGTAGCGTCCCAGTGCTTCCTCATAGAACGGAGCCCCCTGATCTTTCAGGGATTTGCTTATCTGAGTGGATTTGGCTGTTAGTAAATGTTGGGAGGTTAAAAGCAAGCAGCTGGTTTCAGAAAGGCTGTCTAGGGTTTGTTCTGCATTCTGTCGTGGTGAGATTGCCAAACCCTCACTTCCTGTAAAGGGCTTCTGCAGGAACCTGGAATTGCCTGTTTATCCTGCAGAAACCTTTGGCCATGAAAGGAATAAGATTCCCCGTTATACAATGCTGTGAAGCATCACTCGGCTTTTCTAACTCGCAATCTGTATACAAGCTGTGGCTGAACTTGTCCTTGATTTCTTCGGGGGAACCAAAATGAAGAAACAACTTTCTGATTTCCCTTCTCTTGGGACTGGGGCCTTCTCCAACTTTTTAATTCTGGGAGGCAAATCTAATCAAGCAGATGGCTAAATATATAAGTCTGGCATAAAAAAGTATTGGGGGGATGGGAACTGCAGTCCCAAGATGAGGAACCCAATGGATTCCATCACCTTCGTCTATTGTTCAACTCATACAGCAAGTCTTCCTTGGCTGGAGTTCGTCCTTCTGGTTAACAGCCAAGCATGCTAATCCCTTGTGCCACAGAGACCCAACACAACTTTTGATATCAGATTTCTTGGCTTGAGGATTCAACATATCTTAAGTCATGAGACATACTGTGTTTCCCCCAAAACAAGACCCTTATATTTTTTTTGAACCCTGAAATAAGCACTTGGGCCTTATTGCCATGCACTCAAAAGCCCGATTGGGCTTATTATCAGGGGATGTCTTATTTTGGGGGAAACAGGGTAGTTTGTTCTTATCCCGCGTTATTAGATGTAGAAAATGAAACATTGGATTATTATGAAGAGTATTACTAAAGACAAATATTGCTTTTGTTGAGAAAGAATCTCAACAATTATACCAGCGATAGAAGGGTATCACGTAGGGCAGAGGTCTTCAAACTTGGCAGCTTTAAGACTTGTGGACTTCAACTCAGCCAGCATGACTGTCTGACTTAGGAATTCTGGGAGTTTAAGTCCACAAGTTTTAAAGCTTGGGGACCCTGGATGTAGGGTGTTGAATCTTCCAACACGGGTTCAAGTCTCGGTTGGTGCATGACTTCCTTCATCTGTTACCTTTCTGGGAGCTAAAGGGGTAAGCCATAACCCTGGTTTCCTGACCTAGGGAAAAGCCTCAGCACTGCTGACCTCCACTCCCTTTGCAGTTTCATCATTGTTAGTATTAAAAATCTTTCTGGAAGCTAGTATCCACAGCAAAGTCTCGTCTGGACTATTGTAACGCTCTCTACATAGGGCTCCCCTTGAGGTGCACTCGGAGGCTCCAACTGGCGCAGAGTGCGGCCGCACGGGTGGTTATGGGAGCGACGTGGAGTTCCCATGTAACACCTCTCCTGCGCGAGCTGCACTGGCTCCTGGTGGTCTTCCGAGTGCGCTTCAAGGTGCTGGTTATCACCTTTAAAGCGCTCCATGGCTTAGGACCTGGTTATCTACGGGACCGCCTGCTCCCACCAATAGCATCCCACCGGCCAGTGGTTGTTCAAAGTTATACCACCACTGAAAAAAGTGATTTACGATCATTTTTCAAACTTATGACTGTTGCAGCTTTCCCATGGTCATATGATCAAATTTCAGGTGTTTGGCAACTGACTCATATTAATGACAGTTGAAATGTTCCCGGGCCTTGTGATCACCTTTTGTGACTTTCTGACAAGCAAAGCCAATATGGAAGCCAGATTCGTTTCACAACAGAGTTACTAACTTACCAAAAGCAATTCACTGTGGCAAGACAAGTCATAAAATGGGGCAAGACTCATTTAATAACTGTCTCAGCAACAGAAATTTTGACCTCAGTTGCAGGCATAGGCCAAAGACTACCTGGATTTCTATTGAAGCACTTCTCACACATCCCTTTATTGATATGGTTTCTCCCCTGTGTGGATCCTTTTATGCTTGGTAAGAGCAGAATTCCACCTAAAGCCCTTTCCACATTCAACACATTTATATGATTTCTCTCCTGTGTGGGTCTTTTTGTGGGAATCAAGATGACTGGTACAAGTAAAGATCTTTCCACACTCCCTGCATTGAAATGGCTTCTCTTTTGTGTGGATCCTCTTGTGGGAATTAAGACTACTGGTACAAGTAAAGGTCTTTCCACACTCCATGCATTGATATGGTCTTTCTCCTTTGTGAATCCTTTGATGGATTATAAGAGAACGATTATAACAGAAGGTCTTTCCACACTCGACACAGTGATATGGCTTCTTTTCTGTGTGGATCATCTTATGGGTATTAAGATGACTGGTACAAGTAAAGCTCTTTCCACACTCGGTGCATTTATAAGGTCTTTCTCCTTTGTGATTCATTTGATGCATTATTAAAGACTTAGAATAACGGAAGGTCTTTTCACACTCCATGCATTGATACGGTTTCTCTCCTTTGTGGATCCTCTTATGGGAGGCAAGATGACTACTACTGCTAAAAGCCTTTCCACTCTCCATGCATTTATAAGGTCTTTCTCCTTTGTGATTCCTATGATGGATTATAAGAGAGCTATAATAAGAGAAGGTCTTTCCACATTCGTTGCATTGATATGGCTTCTCTCCTGTGTGGATCCTCTTATGGGAATTGAGACGACTGCTACAGGGAAAGGTCTTTCCACACTCCGTGCAGTGATATGGTTTCTCTCCTGTGTGAATCCTCTTATGGGAATTGAGACTACTACTGCAAGTAAAGCTCTTTCCACATTCCTTGCATTGATATGGCTTCTCTCCTGTGTGGATCCTTATATGGTAATTGTGACTACTAGTGCAAGTAAAGGTCTTTCCACATTCCACGCATTTATAAGGTCTTTCTCCTTTGTGATTCCTTTGATGGTTTATAAAAGAGCTATAATAAGAGAAGTTCTTTCCACACTCGTTGCATTGATATGGCTTCTCTCCTGTGTGGATCCTCTTATGGGAATGGAGATTACTACTATGAGTAAAGGTCTTTCCACACTCCATGCATTGATATTGTTTCCCTTTCCCCTCTTTCGAATAGATCGGTTGGCATTCCATGTTGCAATTCTTATTCTCCTGCCCATTATAGCCTTAAAAAAGAAAAAGGAAAACTGTAGCAAGAATAGGAGAACAATCAAGCCTTTTCTTCTGAAATTTAGCTAAAGAATCAATATATTGTAGCTGCTTTGTTGGCAAACATGATGATTCCCAATTAAGATTTTAGCAAGAACCCATTTCCAAGTGTATCCCTACTGATCCTCATCTAACAGGATTGGATTACATCACAATGAATCAAAGACACAACCCTGATTTAAGCTTTGACCTGGGACTATTCCACAGTGCCACAAACTCCTGAAGTCCATTGGACATGGTACCATGCTGGGTCAACAACATACCTACCAGCTCCCCAACTTCATTGGAAGTCTCATCCCCACTTATCTGAAGAGCAGAATATTTGAAAGCCAAGGGGAATTTATGGATGGCAATAGCCCCCCACTCTCAATTAGGCTGAGGTCAAACTTGGTACACAAGTGGGCACATCTCAGAGAAGGGACTTTCTACTACGGACCCATCCAGTTTTGGTTATAGCAACTCAGGGCCATCGGGGATCTAGAGATGAGATTCAGGAATAGGCAGGACCTTGCTCAAGAGAGGCCACCCCATTCCTATCTGCAGCCTATCCCTCAGTTTCTTACTTATATCTTCGGTGGCATGAAAATTTTGAATGACTATTTTGTATTTTATGAGCAGAAAGCATTAAAAAAAACACTTCCCCTATGTAAAAAGTGAGAGTATGCAGTTTTCAATAAATTTCTTTCTTTCATAAAGTCAGTTTGGTCAAACACTTAAGGCACCAGGCTAGAAACTAGGTCAGTGAGTACTAGTTCAGCCTTAGGGATGAATGCTGGCTGGGGCCAGTCTCTCTCAGCTCAACCCATGTCACAAGCTTCTTGTTGTAGGGAAAACAACAGGAGGAAGGAATATTAAGTTTGTCCACAGGATATAAATAAATGATTTCTTTAAATCACTTATTTCACTTAACCTATTTTTTAATAACATCTAAGTTCCCTTCTCGGACCCCATGACTTTTCTAAGTTTCTGAGCAGAGATAAGGATTCTTACCCAGAGAAGCCAGATTCCTGGAATTCTCCAGCATGACTTCTCCATGGAGTGCTTTTTGGTCAGAGTCCAGTTGAGACCATTCCTCCTTGGAGAAATACACGGCCACTTCCTCAAAAGACACAACATCCTAAAGAAGGAAACAGGTTTTCCTTTTAACAGATAATCCCAATTCAAGGAATGAGATCCAGTGAACAAAATGGGCATCTTGTGCACAGTTCAGAATGAGATCTCAGTGCTTTTGACTGACGGCACAACTGAAGCGCATTGGATCATGTTGGAAGTAATTGGAATGCCTTTCAGTGTAGCCAATAAAATATTTTTCTTGGTCAATTGGTAGTTGGGTCTTAAATTCACTAGTTATCAGTGGCTCCAATTCTTCCTAGAGTGGGCAATGCCAAATACTGGCAAAACTCACCTGACATTTTCGCCCGTGGCTTATTTTATCCACTGAGGGGGAAGCTTAACCCAACTCCACACCTTCATGAGGTTGCTGGAAGAGTTTGTAACAGGATATGTCTATGGAAATTCTCTATCACCAGGTCATTGTTGTCCCAAAGATGCTTTTCAAAAGAGGATTTTTTTGTAATGGTATGCAAGAATGCCCTGGGGAGACCCGGGGAGGAAGAGCCTCGATGCTGACAACAGTCTGATCAACTAAATCTGTGGAGCAGGAGGGGTGGAGAAAGTGTCTTCCAAAGGATCCCCTCAGAAGGGAGAGTTAGGGTAAGCTAAATATGAATTTTGAATATAATATCAGATTTTGTATCAGATCAGTAATTTTATACATTGAACTCTAGAACAAAATGAAACCCATTCAAGATTCATGGACCTTTTCTGATGTTTCTCCTCTTTACCTGAAGTAGTGGTTCAGCCAATCCTTCAGCTCCACCACAAAGACGAACTGATTCAAAAAATTCCAAGGATAGCTTTCTACTCTCTGTGAGAAAGAGAAAAATGGTGGAAGCAGATTTGTTAAAGAGAGACATTCCAATCAAGAGGAGCAAAAGAATCACCTAAATGTTGAAATCTCACATTATACAGAAATACCTTTTCTTACCTGGAGTTGTGTCCTGACATTGATCTTTGTGTAAGGTCTCCCTGAACAGCAGCTCTTGAGAAGATCTGAATGCATCCTTCCTCCCCTTGGGATACTCAGTCATAGCTTCCAAGGATTTCTGGACATGATGTGATAACAAAGAATAAGGAATTACCATACTGCATCTTTAAACCAGCAGACCCCAATGTCCATTTGTGAAACTCAAAGGAGAATGGAAGACTTGCCCCAAACACATCCTCTGGAAGAAAAATGGAACAACTGGCCTTAGGTGTTAATAATCCCAGAAAACTCTACCAAAAAGGAACTGACATACCGTATTTATTGACGTATAACGCACTTTTTCATCTTGAAAATAATGTGGAAATCGCATGTGCGCGTTATACACCAATATGTATTTAAAAATACTGTTAAAAAGAACGAATGGTCCGCTTCCTTACCTTAGTTGCTGATTGCATGACGATCGCAATCCATGCATCAGCAATCAACTGAATATCCCTGGCTGCAATCAAGCTCATCGGTGAGCAGCTCTTTCTGCCTTAGGAATTCTGGGAGTTGAAGTCCATAAGTCTTAAAGTTGCCAAGATTGGAGACCCCTGTTCTGTTGGGTAAGTTTTTTTCCCCTTTGGGAGCTTTAAAAAAAATAGTTAATTGGGGGTTTTTTGTTCTTTTTTTAGACTTAGACATTTAAAGTTTAGGAAGTTTTAAATTTAGTTTTCATATAAAAATAAAAATAAAATAATATTTGTGCAGCTTTCTGAGATTTAGTGTGTTTCTGTAGTGTTTCACTCTAACTACACAAACACACAAAATCTCACAAAGCTGTATGTGGAATTTTGTGTGTGTAAAGTGTGAAAGTTGGTTTTTTCGGCTTTTTATGGCTGTGTGAGGTTCCTGCTTGTTGCAGGGGCCATTTTGGGTCTAGCACAGCTGCTTTTACATTGTGGGTGAGCCAGTTGTGTGCAGTGCATTGTGGCTGTGGCTGTGATTCAGGTGCCCTAATCACCTGAATCACAGTAATATCAAAGTTTATTCGGTAAAACAGTAGTTTTTACTTCCATGTTACGTTCTTTATCTTTATATGTGCTTAAATATTAATTTAAAAAGTTTTGAACTACCTTTGTTATGCTTCAAAGTTCTTTATTTAAAATTTACTTTTTTTCCTGAAACTTCCCTCTTAAAATTAAAGTGCGTGTTATACGCCAGTGCGCGTTATACGCCGATAAATACGGTATTCAGAGAGATTCTCTTTAGAGCTGAAATGAATATATTCTCACACCTGCATCTTTTCCGACTCCTGGGCCAGGAGGAAGCCTTCGGCCAAGGCCACAGCCTGGGAACTGGTCTCTGCTCCACACTCCCGCACCCATTTCTCCATCTCTGGAGGAAGGAAAGCCAGGAACTGCTCCAGGAGCACTAAGTCCAGTATTTGAGCCTTCGTGTGTCTTTCCGGCTGCAACCATTGACGGCAAAGGCAGTGAAGCTGACTGCAAACCTCTCGGGGACTCTTCCCCTCCTGGAACTGCACTTTTCTGAAGTGACAGCATTGAACCTCTGAAGTGTTGGCTTCCTCTTCTTGGCTCTTCTGCCCAGAACTTGCCCCATTTTCCCCACAGCTCCAAGGCTGGGTAGCTGGAGGGCCTTTTCCAACTCCTGCATCTGGTGGGTGTTGTCCCTCCATCATTTCTTTGGTATTCTAATCCAGCTCCAAAATGGATGGATGGATCTCCCAAATTTTACTAATCAGAAGACGTCTGGCCAAATCTCCTAAAGGCCATTCAGCGCTCTTCCCACACAAGATACTTTGGACTCCAAGGGAAGCAGGAAAGATTTCCAAATTATAGATCTGAAATGGAAAAAGAAACTTCCAGAAATACAGGCTGACCAACTTAACAACTGAGCATCCACAAAAACCCAAATAAGAAGTCCTATGAACCCAACAATATCTGGAAAGAGGGAGGAAATCTTATTAGTTGGTAGACTAACGTGTGGAAAAAAATTGCTTAGTAACCTTCTGCATCAACTTCGATCAAGGACTAAAAACTTTGAATACAAGAATTTAAAACATGTTTTTGTTTTCTAATTCCTACATATTTATTCAAATAATTTTGCTGGCTGCTTCCAACTTTAAAAACAGTCTTTGTATAATTCAGATCATAAATGTCTCAGGTCACAAACAGCCATTCAGATGAGTGGCTATCTAAATCGATTTTATAGGTAAATCAATCAATATTTGAACTACCAGTATAATGTTAGATAGTAAAGCCCCATTAACCTCCTGGTACATGCAGTACAAAGCAGTGAGCCATGTACATATCTGTACATTGGGGAAACAAAACAAGCACTTCATAAACTCATGGCACAAAGTCCATGATAAAGATAATAATGACTGATGAAATTAACCAAGGGAAAAGTACTTTAAGAAATTTAAAAATAGAATTGAATAATCGGGAAGATACTTTTGAAAGGAAGATAGGTGTTTTGGTTGATAATCTGGAGACCTGGCATCTTTGGAGGATAGAGATGGGAAAAATATTCAGACTGAATGGTGAAGACATAGATGCTGATAAAGAAAAAGATCCAAGAGAGGAGTATGGGAGGCAAGCCCAAAAATGAATAAGAATTGAAGTATTAAAACAGGCAAGAGATGATGGGGTTTTTTTTCAATGATAGCCTGATTAAAAACTGAAATAGAGGTAGAAATAAGAATACACACCTTTATATAAAGCAATAGTTAGATGGGAAGATTGGAGGTTGAAAGATGATATTATTAGGTATGTTTAAATAATACTTGAATGGTGTATTATGACTTTGAACAACCAAATAACGAAGGACTATGTCTTACTATAAACATGTCTGTTAACACTAGGATTAGTAATGGTGGCCTGACTAGAAGTTAGAATAGAGATAGAAATAAGAAATAGGGGGAATATTAGCAGATATAATTTTCATATAATAGAATATAAATAGTAATTAGATGGAAAGATTAGAGGTTGAAAGATGGAATTACTATGTACGCTTACATAATACAGTTAGGGCATATTTTTTACATAATGACTAGTGGATTAATTTAGCAACTCGATCATGTCTAGTCCACTGGTCATTATGTAGAAAATACTTAATGTATGTCCTACCTGTATCCGAAAAGTCATGGGAACATAAAGTGGAAAAAGTTGTTGAAACTGAAATGGCTGGGCCATTGAGATGGCTACCTGTGGCTGGGCCTGAATGACTATGGTGCGGTCCCTATGTGTTGTGGTCCACTAGCAGCCTGCGGAGCTGGCAGCGGAGTCGGACAGTGAGGAGGCTGGGGAGGACAATGGGCCAGTCCTGGAGCCAGGGAAAGGTCCAGACAAAGGCTGTATCGGAGGCAGAGATGGGTCCAGGGCCATCTGGGAGTGATACGCGGACTCCGGAGCCTCCAGAGGCAGGACAGCACAGAGGCAGAGGAACAGGAGGAACCTGTTCCTAGTGCATGCATGTGAAGAGCTGCCAGAAGGCAAGAGCATCTAAAGCAAAAAGGACCCTTATAGCCCCTCCCATAAGGCTTAAAAGAGCAGCAACGTTGCTACATTTGTTTCTTGTAGGCACTTTGTGGGGCTTTGCCAAGAAAAGCCTTTGGCAGGATGCCAAAGAAGAGAAAGGTTTGTGATAAGGCCAAAGGACTTTTTCTGAAGGACTTGATTTGGAATTAATTTGGACTAAGCTGAGAATGAAGTAATTCTCAGATGTTCTAATAAAACATGTTTGTTTAGGACTGATTGTGTCTGGTAATAACTACTTGGGCCTAGGTCACAACACTATGGTTATGGCATTGCTAGTCTTCAGATCAGTAGTGGCTTAGCCACCATGAATCAACCCAGGCACCTACCATCACCAATGATGAGAAGAAATCAACAAAATTCTATACCAGATTGATCGTTGCCCAGGTCAACAAGGACCAGATCAACAAGGATCGCATCAGATGCTGTGGCTCCTGGACATCTGTTGAAAAATGGGCTACAGGGCTCAGTTGCTACTGCTGGGGACCAGGGCGTGCAACTGTAAAGTGACTGGGACAAAAGCTCAAAACTTGGACAACCAAAGAAAGTGGAGAAATTATTATTATGATTATGGCTGTTTATATCAAAATGAACTATTCCCAGAGGCCACACTGTTCATGTAATGATATTGATGTATATTTAAAAATAAAAATTCAATGAAACTTTTTAAAAAATGCATGGCACAACATAGGAGAACGAACTCATCAGGACAAGATTCAGCAGTCCATCTGTAAGGTCTTTCCTTTCCAAATCTTCACAAGAAAGCAGGACTCTTGAAACTGAAGTTGTTCCAAAAGGAGCTTGTATTGAAAGGTTGGGGAATAGCCAAGAAGTCTAGGCAAAAACTAAATCTTCCCACTTAAAAAACAGCAATTTAAAGCAGTGCAATCAAAACTCCTCCCACAGTACAGCAATGCAGGAAACACACTCACAGCAGAGCAATGCAGGAAACAGAAACAGAAACTTCATAGAGAGATCCCTCCAAACTTCTCCCCTCCCACCAGAATGCCAGCGTCCCAATAGAAATATATGGGATCTGACACTATCTGCACTCAAAAGACAAAGCCAAATCTTTTGGAGACATGAAGTACACATTCATGTCTACAGAGGACTGGACAGAGGACTGTTGGTTTGAAAGAGGGTTCAAAGTAAAGTGAATAATGTGAATAATATAATAATGTGAATAATGTGAATGGTATAAAGTCAGCTATATGAACACTGGAGGACCCTCTTTATTCACATTATTATAAGAAAGAAAAGTGCTTGTTTAGAAATTACACTAAGTCAGCGAAATTCCATTCTTGGGAACATATATCTTTTGAGGGGCCTATCTGTCAAAGATGCAAGGACCATATATAATATATATCTTCTGAGGAAGATATCTGTCAAGGATGCAGAGACATCCATCTGAAACAAAAAGTTACTTATTAATCCAAGGCCAGCCATGGAGCTATGCATCAGTGATTACAGAAGAGGAGGATGTTTAGCTAAAATTACCACATGTACTATAAATTAAGGCAGGAATTTATTAATTAAAAAGTGTCAATTATCATGTAACGGATGTATGTTAACCATATATGGAAAACTGCTGTGCCAGCAAAGTCCTATGTCTTGGATATGTATAAAAGCAGTTGTATCAGAGCTCTTCCTTTGTTCAGAATTGCAGATACAAATCTGGTTCTGAAACTGCGCAATAAAAACTGTCTCTGGCTGACCAAGGAATGTTGTTTGGTCCCATCATTCCACAACAAAAGAGGCCATCTATGTCATAATTGAACAGCCCTTTCTCAATAGAAGGGGAGGGATATGACATCCTCTATCTGCAGTTTACAACACAGTTCTTTCAACAGTTTCAAAATGACCAGCTTGTCTGCAAAGAGTATAAATCCCTCCATTCAGAGCTGAAGAAGCTTTTTGGATGAGAAGCGAAACGTCTTCAGAGAAAAACCAGAAAGTCCAGTTGCCTCTTGAAAAAGCACCTTTGGGACAGCCATGACCTGGATGACTGAGAATCTCCATAGATTCTTGGTGCAAACCACTATGGGTACCCGAGAAATCACAATCCACAAACCACAATTCAATGCAAAGAGAATAATACCTGAATCAACAAACCATATACCAATTAACATTTCCTGGAAAGAGGTTTCTCACTTTTAGCCTAATTCTAAATGGCTCCGACCTTTTTGGCGGTCCCGATTTTCCTCCTGGAGGAAACGCAGCGGGACCGTAGCTTATGATCTTTTCCCTGCCTCGCCCGTGCATGCATGCACAGGGGCGGCAGGGGAACATGGGACAAGGGGCTCCCCACTTTCCAGGACTCCGAACCTGATGAAGTTTTGCGTGTCTCCACGCACGGTCCAGCCCGTGGAAGAAAAAGTCCCTCCCCACTTACTCAACTCCGGAGTCAGGTCTTGATCTCCCTCCGTGCAAGGCTTCCTTGCAGCCTCTTGGACTGCTGGAAAGGCGGGGGAGGAGCGTGGGAGTGGGAGGAGCAGAATTGGGCACTGTAGAAAGGGCGGGCACGCTTTCTCCTCTGCAAAATACGCCGCGAGCACCTCGGACCAGGAGAAAGAGCGCATGCTCAGTTTCCTCCTGAAGAGGGTGAGGGCCGCTGTGCCTTTCTAAGGGCTACCTAGGGAGCCCCCTGGTGGATCCAGCATGCAACGCCATACGGACCCTACTAGGGCGAAGGGCAGATTGTCATGTTCCATGCGGGCCTGGGATGATGGGCATTGGAGTAGAAGGAGAGGCTCCCTCTGAGATTGCTTGACTGCAGCAGGCAGCAATTTCTAGGCTTTCCTGTTTTTGAACGTCTAAGAAAGATCTGTGATCTTGTAAATATTGAGAAAATCTCTGTGGAGGCTGAAAAGGAACAGGAAGCCTCTCTTTGAAGCCCAGGTTGTTGTGTCACATTGTGTCATGTGGTTGTTGGCAAACTCAGCCCTGAAGTGAGGGAAGCTGAGGGCTGACAGAGTCACAGGATAGGAAGTGAAGAGTTAGTACAATTAAGATTTGCATTGATATTTTATTTCCATTATTTCAGCTGCCTTTTCAAATTCATGCCTCTGGGCAGCTAACAGTGGTTCAAAACAGCAAGTTGCTGCAGCAAAAAATGAGAAGAATCCAGAAGAAACGATCTCGCTTCAAAAAGGGGCATCAAAAGGAAACAAGTTCCAAAATGGAGACAAAGCTCAAACTCATGGAAGTTTTAGAAATTTTACCTCAAAACAAGGCGCCATGATGGAGAGATGAATGGTGTTTCATAGGTGACTGGAGGAAAGGTGGAATTACAAAATGAAGGAAGGCAAATCTTGACAAGTACACATAAAGCTCAAATTCCATGAGGCAAAAAAGAAAAAAGGCTTCATTTGTTTTTCAGTAGGGAAGACAGCTCAGGAAATATGAGTAGGATGTTGAAAGACAGTGTCAGGCAACCAGACTAAACAAAGTACCAATTTTCTTCTAGGTAAAAGAATTGAAGACTCCCAAGGTTTGAAGAGATTAGTGTGGATTTGGAGGTGACAGTGGAAGAACAGCATCTCTGATGTAGAGATTTATCTACATTAATGAAATAAAGAAATGGGGAAATAGACCTAAGCAGCAATTGATAAAGAATGGAATTAACATCTCTCGCCAAAAGCCTGGTTCTTCTCAGCCCATTTTTCTCAGTCTTCTATAAGGGAGAAAATTGACATAATAGCTACAGAACCAATATTAGTGCCCTTTTACCAGTTTGATCCAGAACCATAAATGAGCACTATTTGAATAAATAGCTTTAAACTTGCCTGAGTCTCTGAAAACCCGAAGCATTCATCTCCCTCCAATCCTTCCAACAATTTTCCTCTATTTTTAGTTTTTAATTTATTAGAATTTAGAACTGTCTCATGAATAACCATACAAGTGATACTTAATTTTATTTAAATCAAAAACTAATTTTATTCAAATCTAATTAAAATCCAATTAAGTTCAATTAAATCTAATTTATTTAAATTGAATTTAGAGATTTCCTAATTATTCTCATGTCTTAGAAAGGCAAAATAGCAATAGCACTTATATACCGATTCATAGTGCTTTACAGCACTCCATAAACAGTTTACAGAGTCACCATATTGCTCCATACAATCTGGATCCCTATTTTCCCCGCCTCAGAAGAATGGAAGGTTGAGTCAACCTTGGGCCGGTCAGAATCCAACTCCTGGCAGTCAGCAGAATTAGCTTGCTATACTGCATTCTAACCACTGCACCACCATGGCTCTAATGCTTCTAAAAATGTATTTGAACATGGATTTCACTTCTTATTCTGTTTTTTGGGGGAGTGGAATTTGTCATCCTGAAACTCTTTTCACATGATACATTGATATATGTGATTTGGTTCTATTTTTATTGCTTGAATTATGTTGAATTCCCAGACAAATAGTACTCAACTTTCAACAGTTTGTCTAGTAAATTTGCAATGGCAGTGAAAAAAGTTACTTATTACCATTTTTCACACTTATGACCGTTGAAGCATGGTCACATGATTTACATGTGGATGCTTGACAACTGACTCACATTTATGAAAATTGCGGTGTCCCAGGTCACATGATCACCTTTTGCAACCTTCTGACAAGCAAAGCCAATGGGAAAGCCAGTTTCAGTTAACAACCACATTACTAATATAACAATTGCTGTGATTTACTTAATAAATGTGGCAAGAAGAGTCGTACAATTTGGTGAAGTGTCACTTAACAAATTTCTCAGCAACATAAATTCTGGGCTCAATTGTGGTTGTAAGTTGTGGACCATCTGTAATCCTTGGTTAAGGAATGGAATTTGGATCAGAACTTCCATCACTAAGTGATGTCATAAAGCAGTGGTCCCCAACCTTTTTATCGCCGCGGCCCGCTGAGCGCGCACAGGGGTGGGGGCACGGCCCAGGAGCTTTTGCGCACGGCCCATTGCGCACGGCCCAGGAGCTTTTGCGCACGGCCCAGGAGCCTTTGCGCTGCAGCGTTCATGTCCCCCGGCCGCTGCGCGGCCCGGTGCCAGGTACTCCACGGCCCGGCACCGGTCCGTGGACCGGGGGTTGGGGACCACTGTCATAAAGCATGGCATCACATAAGCAAAGCCAAATGTTGGTAAGGCGCCAGTGCTTTACCTGCTGTACATTAATGAAAAAGAAACATAACAGGAAACTCCAGAGAGGATTTAAAGACAGACCAGTGTCTGTAAGAGTAAAAATATTGATATATACTACTACAGTGTACATTGCTGCACAATGAGAGCTTATACACCGGAGACAAATTTCTTGTGTGCACAATCACACCTGGCCAATAAAGAAGTCCATTTTCATTCTAGTGTTCAAAAGACAAGCAGGGATGGAAAGGTAGCACACACAGAAAGAGCTAGGACCAGACACTTGGCTGAACACCAGAACAGAAATACTGAGGCATCAATAAGAGGTATTAGTCTCTAATAAAGTGGGGTGGGGGGAGTTAACCTAAAGAATAGTTGAAGAATAATGTGATAATTGTGTTTTATATTTCGGAATATTTGAAACAATATAATGAAAAAAAAAACAGGAATACTTCTACATGCACAAAAGGCCTTTGATTATTTGAACCTGACAAAAATCACAAGCAGGATTAGGGATCCACCTTAATGGTTCTGGTTTGCACTAGAAAGGCAATTTATGCATGCATATCTAAAGTCTACAATTTATTTGGATTATTATTCAAATGTTCCTTGCATGGAATTTTAGACAATTATAGGTAATCCTCAATTTACAGCAGTTCATTTAGTGATTGTTCAAAGTCACAGCAGCACTGAAAAAAGTGACTTATGACCATTTTTTCAAACTTATGACTGTTGCAGCATCCCCATGGTCATGTGATCAGATTTCAGATGCTTGGCAACTGACTCATATTTATGACAGTTGAAGTGTTCCCAGACCATGTGATCATCTTTTGTGACTTTCTGACAAGCAAAGCCAATAGGGAAGCCAGATTCAGTTCACAACAGAGTTACTAACTAACCAACAGCGAGGTTGGCAAAAAAAAAATCATAAAATGGGGCAAAACCCAGTTAATAACTGTTTCACTTAGCAACAGAAATTTTGGCCTCATTTGCAGTCATACGCCGAGGACCACCTGGATTTCTGTTGAATCACTTCTCACACTTCCCTTTACTGATAAGGCTTCTCCCCTGTATGGATCCTTTTATGTGTGGTAAGAGCATATTTCCTACTAAAGCTCTTTCCACACTCCATGCACTGATATGGTTTCTCTCCTGTGTGGATCCTCTTGTGGGAATTCAGATGACTGCTACTAGTAAAGGACTTTCCACATTCCTTGCATTGATATGGTCTTTCTCCTGTATGGATCATTTTGTGGTAGGTAAGAGCCGAATTCCACGTAAAGCCCTTTCCACATTCCAGACATTTATATGGCTTCTCTCCTGAGTGGATCTTTTTGTGGGAATCAAGATATCTGCTGCAACTAAAGTTCTTTCCACACTCCATGCATTGATATGGCTTCTCCTCTGAATGGATAGTTTTATGGTGAATCAGAGCTCTTTTCCTACTAAAGCTCTTTCCACACTCCACACATTGATATGGCTTCTCTCCAGTGTGGGTCTTCTTGTGGGAATTAAGACTACTGGTACAACTAAACGTCTTTCCACAATCCCTGCATTGATATGGTTTCTCTTTTGTGTGGATCCTCTTGTGGTAATCAAGATTACTGGTAAAAGTAAAGGTCTTTCCACACTCCTTACATTGATATGGTTTCTCTCCTGTGTGGATCCTCTTGTGAGAATTGAGACTACTACTGCTAGTAAAGGTCTTTCCACACTCCATGCATTTATAAGGTCTTTCTCCTTTATGATTCCTATGATGGATTATAAATGAGCTATAATAAGAGAAGGTCTTTCCACATTTGTTGCATTGATATGGCTTCTCTCCTGTGTGGATCCTCTTATGGGAATTAAGACGACTGCTACAGGGAAAGGTCTTTCCACACTCCATGCAGTGATATGGTTTCTCTCCTGTGTGAATCCTCTTATGGGAATTGAGACTACTACTGCAAGTAAAGCTCTTTCCACATTCCTTGCATTGATATGGCTTCTCTCCTGTGTGGATCCTCTTGTGAGAATTGAGACTGCTACTGCAAGTAAAGGTCTTTCCACATTCCACGCATTTATAAGGTCTTTCTCCTTTGTGATTCCTTTGATGGTTTATAAAAGAGCTATAATAAGAGAAGATCTTCCCACACTCCATGCATTGATATGGCTTCTCTCCTGTGTGGATCCTCTTATGGGAATGGAGATTACTACTATGAGTAAAGGCCTTTCCACGCTCCATGCACTGATATTGTTTTCCTTTCCCCTCTTTCAAATAGATCGGTTGGCATTCCTTGTTGCAATTCTTATTCTCCTGCCCATTATAGCCTTAAAAAAGAACAAAGAAAACTGTAGCAAGAATAGGAGAACAATCAAGCCTTTTCTTCTGAAATTAAGCTAAAGAACCATCAATATATTTTAGCTGCTTTGTTGGCAAACATGATGATTCCAAAGTAAGATTTTAACAAGAACCTATTTCCAAGTGTATCCCTACTGATCCTCATCTAACAGGATTGGATTACATCACAATGAATCAAAGACACAACCCTGATCTAAGCTTTGACCTGGGACAATTCCATGGTGGCACAAACTCCTGAAGTCCATTGGACATGGTATCATGCTGGGTCAACAACATACCTACCAGCTCCCCAACTTTATTGGAAGTCTCATCCCCACTCGGTCTTGGAAGGGTTGAGTCGGAGCCTGTTTCTTCCCATCCAGGCCCGCATGGCCTCCAGGCACCGGGACATCACTTCAAGGGCATCGTTGGGGTGGCCTGGGGTGGAGATGTACAGCTGAGTGTCATCAACGTACTGATGGAACTCCACCCCAAAGCCACGGATGATCTCACCCAGCGGCTTTACATAAATGTTGAACAGAAGGAGCAAGAGGACCGACACTTGCGACACCCCACAAGCAAGGTGCCTCGGGGTCGACCGCTGCCCCTGTCAACACAGATTGCGACCGGTCAGAGAGGTAGGAGGAGAACCACTGCAAAACGGTGCCCCCCCAACCCCAACCCCTCCAACCGGTGCAACACGATACCATGGTCGATGGTATCACAAGCCACTGAGAGATCTAACAGGACCAGGAAAGAGGAGCAACCCCTATCCCCAGCCCTCCAGAGATCATCCACCAACGCGACCAATGCCGTTTCCGTGCTGTGCCCAGGCCTGAAGCCGGACTGGAGCGGATCCAGATAGACAGCTTCATCCAGGTACCGTGGAAGCTGCCGCGCCACCACACTGTCAACAACCTTCGCAATAAAACGAAGGTTGGAGACTGGACAATAGTTAGCCAAAACAGCCAGATCCAGAGCAGAAAGCATTAAAAAAAAACATTTCCCCTATGTAAAAAGTGAGAGTATGCAGTTTTCAATAAATTTCTTTCTTCCATAAAGTCAGTTTGGTCAAACGCTTAAGGCACCAGGCTAAAAACTAGGTCAGTGAGTACTAGTTCAGCCTTAGGGATGAATGCTGGCTGGGGCCAGTCTCTCTCAGCTCAACCCATGTCACAAGGTTCTTGTTGTAGGGAAAACAGCAGGAGGAAGGAATATTAAGTTTGTCCACAGGATATAAATAAATGATTTCTTTAAATCACTTATTTCACTTAACCTATTTTTTAATAACATCTAAGTCCCCTTCTCGGACCCCATGACTTTTCTAAGTTTCTGAGCAGAGATAAGGA